GTACCTTTTCAACTGCGGCGAGGGCACCCAGCGGGCCATGCAGGAGCACAAGTAAGTGGGGACACCGGGGGGGGCCCCAAGGCTGGATCGGCCCCTCTGACTCCCGCGCACGCTGTGTCCCCCCGCAGGCTGAAGATCTCCCACCTGGACAGCATCTTCCTCAGCAGGGTGGCCTGGGCCAATGTTGGGGGGCTGCCAGGTGAGCGGGGGGGCTGGCGCGGCCACGGGGGCGGCTCTGCGGGCTGAGGGTGGTCGCTTGGTGAGGTTGGGATTTTTATAGGTCCTGGCAGGACCAGGGATGGTGCAGTCACAGGGCCTGGGCTGCACGTGGGGCTCTGTGACAGTGCAGACACATGGTGGGACAGGCCCTGCCTGCCGATCCTGCAGGGCTTTATCTTCCCAAAATCTCCCAGAGCAGAAGGTGTTACCACTGTTGTGTTGCCAGCAGGGAGCTGCTGATGAGTTAGGCTGGTTTGAGTCCAAAGGAATGACAAAGGTTTGTGGCCACCACTGTCCTTAAAGCAGGAGGAGGTTAGAACAGATGGCTTAGGATCTTGTCCATTAAAATTCTGGAAATCTCCAAGAAAAGAGGATGTTACAATATGTTCAGATACCTTGCTCCAAATGATGGCTACCCAGATGTGTAGATATTTTGTTTCTCTGCAGAGATAAGTGACAAAGCTGAGGCAAAACTGAATTTGCATCTGAGCTCAGTTCAGGCTGAGGTCCAGCACTCCTGCACACAGAGAGGGATCTTTCTTCTGGGATCTTCCAGCAGTAACTGGGGCTGTGATAAAGCTGTTTCCCTGCTTGTTTTTAGGTATGATTCTCACCTTAAAGGCTATAGGGCTTCAGAGATGTATGTTCCTGGGGCCACCAAAGCTGGTAAGTAGGGGAAGGTGCAGAAGGGAGAGCAAACCCTTGAAATGTTAAAGTTCACACTGTAATTGGGAGAGGTGGTGGCAAAGTGAATCTTTGTGCAGGTGTAAAATGCTGGTGTGAGTAAGTGTCAGCCAGGAGGGCTGCCTTCAAAATCCAAATCACAGGACAGTATAAGACTTCTGCTCCTTGAAACTGTCCTGTCACCTTGTATCCTGATAAATCATCTTTTGAGAGAAGTGAGTTCTTTGTTCCCTTGTCTGCTCCCTCTGGGTTTTATGTCAATAGAAACTCAGTCTGATCTCCTGCTTAAGGAGGTCCTTGCCAGCCTAATGCAACGTCTGGACTGAAAATTCGCAATCCTCAGCGTTGTTTTATTTCCATGCAGTTTCTGCTGACTAATTCTATGGATGGAAGGGGTGGGGACAGTGGTTCTTTGTTATCCTTTCTCTTTCCAAACACGCTGTGCCCACTGGAGGTGGGACCCCTGCCCAGATTTGTCTGACTGGGCACTGAGCCTTTCCCTTCTCTGGAAGTACCTGTAGGTGCTGGAAGCGGTGCTTGTCCTGGCACTGCTTGTGCCACCTCCTGATACACTGTCTCTTTTCCAGCAAAACTACTTGAAGGCCATTCGCCTCTTTCCGGGGCCTCTCAAAAGGATGGATTTAGGTATGTAGGTCAGGGGTGTGAGCAAGTGAACTTGTAATATCTTGTTTCATCTGTAATCACAGTTACATTGAACAGTAACAACTTCAGAGTAAATGCCTCTGGTTTGGATCCACTCAGAGAAAGTTTTAAACATCTGTTTTGCTCTGCTGCACTGTTCAAACCCCTCACAACAGTGTCTCCAGCTCTGTCCCTGCTGGGGGGCTGCCAGACTGACTGATCCACACAGCATTTGGTTTTAAAACTCTCTGAAGGCAATTTGCTTCCAGAGTCTGCCAGTGAGTTTGCTCACTGGTATCATGGACAAGTCCCTGAGGATGGTGGGCTTTTAAAACTTCAAATATTCATTGGATTTTGAAGTTAGGCAGAGAAAGGCAAGGGGAAGGTTCAGCAGGTTGTATTTAAGAAAGAAAAAGACACTTTTCTGATTTGCATTGTTGTAGAGTGTGAGTCTCTGCTTATGAAGGTGTTAATGCTGTGTTTGATCTCTTCTTAGCTGTGCAGTTGCACACAGAGCCCGAGTACAAGGATGAGACAATGACAGTCTACCAGATACCTCTGACAGGTGAGCACCTGATGCTGCACTGACACAGGGCAAGCACAATTACGGTGGTTCAAGGAGTAGCTTTCGTTTGCCATCCTGAGTAAGCAGAAGTTCATTAATTTGTGTGTTTTTCTAAGGAGAAGGATCTTGTTCAAAGAAACAAGACCTGCTGAGTCAAGGCCTTGGCTTGTTCCTTTAGGTGTGGGTGGGTGGAATGATGTCAAAGCCAAATCCCTGGGTTTGGCTGTCTCAGCCAGCTGAGTTCTTACTGCTGAAAATTGTGATACTGCGAGTGCAGCACAGACTTGACAGAGTTTAACAGTTTGGGGAGGAGGACTTGTATGAGGGATGGCTCCCAAAATAAGTGACTGGAGGGCTGGAGGTCTGTATTTTGGTGCAATTTAAACATGCCTGTCATGGAAGGTGGAATGCTACTCCCGGTTTTCTTATCTGTCCCTTTTGATTGAGTGATCTTTGTCTGCTTTTACTGGATTTGGGACAGAAAAACCACTGGCTGCTGAAAGTAAATTGCCCCAGAGTCCTGGAGCATCAACCCCAGGTGAAAACAGCCCTAAAGGGGACACAGCGCCTGGATCCCCGAGAGCTGCACAGCAAAGCTTGGAAGAGAGCAAAGGAAATGAAAGCCCCAAGCAAACAGGTGAAAAACATGGAATGGCCTTTTAAACTTTAATGAGATCAAGCTGAATCATTTGTCCTCCGAGCCATTTGCTCTCTGGAAGTGAGGTCTATAGAGAAGCTCAGTTGGAGGATTCCATGAAGCAGAATGTGTTCTGTGCTTTGGAACCTGACACAGAACTCATAAGGGACCTCATAAGGCCTAGAAACTGGGCTTGATTCCTGCTGGGGTGTGATTAGTCCCTGTAGTAGTTTACTTCGAGCTGGGGTGTGTGCTCCAGCCTTTGTAATTTAATTACAGCTGTATGTTGGGCTGATTGTTTTTCAGTCTTGGCTTTAGTTTGGTTTCTTGTAGCTGAAGCCATGGGCTCTCTGGCCTTGGGTGCTCGTATGTTTTGCTGCTGGATTCCAAGTTGGGTGGATGATGTTCCCGTGTTGCTCCTGTTAATGCTTTAGCAAATATTGGCACATTTTGGTTTTAAGGAAAGTGACAGTGAGTGATGATTTTGAGTAGTTTTGCTTTCTTTTGCAGGTGGTGAGCAGAAGTGTGCAAGTAGGAATGCTGACCTGGTGATGGCTTTTCTTTGTAAAGTAAGCTTGGGCACAGAGGTCTCTAAACCAACACAGAACACATTGGAGAATAGAACAGCATTTCTGTGGGAAGGGCCCTACAATGATCACCTGAAATCCCAGAATGGTTTGGGTTGGAAGGGACCTTGAAGATAATCTAGTTGTAACCCCCTGCCATGGGCAGGGACACCTTCCACTAGCCCAGGTTGCTCCAAGCCTTGTCCAACCTGGCCTTGGACACTTCCAGGGTTGAACCATCCAGTCCAAGTGCCTGAGCACTTTGGGCTGCTCAAAATTGAAAGCATATTATTGAGGGCATCTCTTAAACACTGTCAGGCTTGGGGTATTGACCACCTCTTGGGGAAGCCTGTTGCAGTGTTTGACCTCCCTCTCTGTAAGGAGATGCTCCCTGATGCCATGAGGACATTTCATCTTGCTGGACAGATGGAACTGGAGGCAGCATTTTCAAGTAGTACTTTGCAGCTATAATGTGTTTCTGCTTTTCCGATGTTGGAGTTGCTGTAGCAGGAGTAGGACTGTGTAAAATTGGAGATGGTTTTTTACATGTGTTCTTTGTGGAGCAGCTGTTAAGAGGGTGGAGGTTCCATTCTTCCTCAACCCTCCCAGCAGGACAGGCTGTCCTGCTTGCTTGGCTAAAGGAGGGAGCAAGAAGCAGCAGCCTGATCTTGGAAAGCAGACAGGCTGGTCAAAGGTTTTTGGGTTAAATTAGAGCAGTGGCTGTGGAACTGAAAAGGAAGAAAAAAAAAAATTCCTTGGCTTGTGGGGAAAGACTTAAACTGGGAGTACGTGGATCGTGTTTCCTGGCCCTCTGTATTTGGCTGATAATTCCGTTTTTCTCTTTTCAGATTCACCCAAAGAAGGGGAAATTCCTGGTAGCTAAAGCCCAGGAGATGGGGCTGCCAGTGTGAGTAGGAGATCCCAGCCTGGGGCACAGGGCAACAGCAGGCACTTGGGTGTTGTCCAGCTAAATCTTTGTATGGCCTTGTTTTCAGGGGAACTCCAGCCATCCTTCCCATAATTACAGCTCTCAAAAATGGGGAGAGCGTCACTTTTGAAGGCAAAGAGGTAAGATGTGTCTGTACTTCTGCTGTGGCTTTGCCACCCTCCCTCCTTCACTGGGCTCCCAGTGACAAGCTTTTGTGCAGAATGGTTTTCCTACCAGTAGGTACTGGGATTGTTCCATCTCTGGGCTGTTGGTGAATGTGCATGTCTGGGGCAGTTGAAGTTATGATTAAGGAAGTACACTCCAAAATAAATACCTGTGTGGGTATGGCTGGATATTTGCTGTTTGGCAGAGCTTCTTCCCCTCACCTTCCCAAAGCTGATGCAGATCTAGGAGCAAGCTAGTGGAGTTAATCCCTGTGTTTTTTAAATCTGGGGATTGAATGCCTGTGTAGCCATAACTCCCTCCTTACTGTGTTTGCACTTCTTATATCAAAAGAAGTTCAGTGGTTCCTGGGTGCAGGGTCTGAATCTCTCAAACACTGGAGTGAGAGGCAGAGCCAGCTCTGGCCATGGCCCAGGTGATCTTCAAGTGAAGGTCCTGATCTGGGAGAGAGAATTGACATATCTTTGTGTCACAAGAATTTCACAGAGCCTTTTTTTTACTTGAACATGCTTTTTCTACCTCCTGAATCTGCCATGGGAATCTAAAAGCTGCTAAAATTCCTTTCCTTAAATTTGATTGTGGTTTGCCCTGGGATCTGGGTGGGGATTTGTTGTTCCACAGTGTGCCATGAGAGCAGAAGGGGAACAAGAACTGCCCTGACTGGGTTTGCTGAGCATTGAGAGGGGCTGCTGGGGGGCTGCCTGGTGGAACAACTGCTGACAGAGCAGTGCAGGAAGGGCTGTGTGCAGACACTGTTTGTGGTGTGACCATTGTGTATCTCCTGCAGCTATTCCCTGAAGAGCTGTGCACCCCCACGGATCCTGGCCCTGTGTTCCTGGTGCTGGAGTGTCCCCACGAGGGCTTTGTGGATGCTGTGTGTGAGAACGAGACCTTCTGCAGGTAGGGGGGTCACCTGCAGGCTTTGGGGAAGGAGCCCTGTGCTGAGTTCTGCCAAAGAGGAGCTCTTGTCCTGGTCTGGATGTGCTGGTTCTCGTGGCTGATGGCTGAGCTCTCTGGCACTGTTAAGGAGCTCAACATGCAAGAAAGGACTGGTGGTGCATTTTGAGGCTTTTAGGAAAGGCAGGATCTGTGGGAATCTGTGACTGTCATAGACCTGTCTTCCCTCAGGGGCCCCCAGAGCAGGAATGTGCACTGGTGTCTGGCTGGGGAGCAGTGGCGGTTGCTGCTTCCCTGGGTGCTGGAAGCCTGGACTGCACATAACAAGTCTGTAGGGCTTGTGCTGGGGCATGTTGGGTTCATGGAGGCCCTGCAGATGTTGTTGCTGATGGAGGAGAGGAATTGGCCTGTGGGGGACGGTGGAGGTGTCAGCAGATGATGGGTCTGAGCCTTGTGCTTTGGTGCTGTGGAGCCTGGAGCTCCTGGGCTGTGCTCTGAGGGGCTGTGCTCTGTCCACGAGGGGCATCTCTGGGAGCACCAGGGTGAGAGGGGAGGGTATGCCAAGGAATGGACTGAAGCACAGGTATTTTTCCTGTGTTTGAATGTGCCCAGGTACCAAGAGGGACTTCCTGAGAACCAGGTGGCCTTGGTTATTCACATAACTCCTGAGTCAGTGCTCCGAGACAGCCGCTACCAGCAGTGGATGCAGAGGTATGTGGTCCTCTGGTTACCGGGTTTGTGACTCTGTTGGCAACAGCCTGTTCTTGTTTTTCCTGAAGTACAAAGAGCTGTTGGCTGGCAGCAGGTCTCTGCTGGCTCAGGTGAGATCTTTAGCTCAGGTGTGCACGTGTGTGCAGTGTGGGGCTGAAGCTGTTGTGCGTGTTCTTGTCCTCTGACAGATTTGGCCCCGGGACTCAGCATCTGGTGCTCAATGAAAACTCCTCGGCCGTGCACAACCCGCGCAGCTACAAGATCCAAACTCAGCTGAACCTCATCCACCCTGAGATCTTCCCTCTGCTCACCACCTACCAGAGCAAGGTAGGCCAGGCCCTGCCCATGTGCCCTGTGCCCTGAGCACAGCCCGTGTTCCACGTGCCCTTCCATGTCCCCTCCTCCCCGCAGGAAGCAGAGGCCGAGTGCTGGGTGCCCATCGTGCGAGGGGAGTGCCTCCTCAAGTACCACTTCAGGCCACAGCAGGAGTGGCAGAGGTCAGTGGGAATCTCTGACTTCCCGGGTTTTTGGGTTTTGTCTTGAAGCAGCTTTTCAGTGAGGGGGGACACTGTGTCAGCATCCTTTGCAGATCCTTTCTGCCAGGCTGCCAACTGTGTCTGGAGGGCTGTGTCCCTGTCCCTGAAAGTCTTGGACAAGGTGTAGGGCATGGATGAGTGAACCACTGAAAACAACACCTGACCAGTGGTTTGGAATGTTTTTTCTGTCCCTCACTCCTGTAGCCTCATGGTCCTCTGTCCTTTGCTTTGACTCATGCTGTGCACCCAACTGTGGCTGTGGCAGAGCAGACAGGGGCAAGGAGAGAGTTTTTGGGGAGCCCAGTGAAAGACAATGTCTGAAGATCCAGAAAGCCTGATATCAGAGCTAAAAGCTCCAGGTGGTTAAACAGTTTTCAGCTTTGCTTGTGCTGGCCTTGTGGGCAAGTGGGTGAAGCTGCTCAGTGAGAACCTTAAGGGCCAGGGACCGCATGGTGCAAGAGGATTCCAGGCTCAGATTTCTGGCTCTGTTGGGCAGAACAGGAGGGCCCAGGTGCCAAGAAGAGTTTAAGTTTCTCTGCTCAAGGTGTCTGAAGGCCTGTAGTACTGCACGTGCTCTGATGCAGGCCCAGGGCACAAGTCTCTTATGCTTTTCAGGGGAGCCTGGAGCCCTTTTGGGTGGCTGCTCCTCTTCCAGGACCCTCCGTGCTGCCTTGCAGTGCCCTCTAGTGCCTTGCAGCCCTGGATCAGGACATGGTTCTATTCCAGGAGCTGCTCCAGTTTGGTGGAACGATCATTACTGTGGTTGGCTCAGCCCAACTAGGCCTTTTTGGGACACACCACACTTGTGGACATGTCTTCTCCTCGGAACTTGGAAAGAGTGTTTGCCCCCTTGTTGTAAGGCTGTTGTGGCACAGGAAGGGCTATTTCAGTGCCTGCTCTGCCCCATTCTGATATGTGGCCTGTTCTTGCAGAGATGCTGTGACTGTCTGTGATCACAACACCTTTGTTAGTGAAGCCTTGGACCTCCCTGACTTCCAGACCCGTGTGAAGGAGTGCAAAGAGAGCCTGTCTGCTGTACCAGGTGTGGATCAGGAACCTGGCTTGGATCAGTGCAATGGGAAGTAGGAGCTTTTGGTGCCCCACTGCTTTAGAGCCCAGACAAAGCTGTGAAGTGGTGGTGCTTGTTTTGCCTTCCCTTGCAAACCGGCTGCTGAGGAGGGAAAACTGACTGTGCTGGGCATGTTGGCTCTGGAGTTACTGGGCTGGTGAACTGAATGGTGTCTGACTGGGCAGTATGTGGATAACACTTACAGATCCTTGTTGTCTGTTTTCTCTAGCAAATGTGGATGTTTATCCTGAAATTGTGTTCCTGGGAACAGGATCTGCAATTCCAATGAAGATCCGAAATGTCAGTTCCACACTGGTGAATACCAGGTAAATCCCAGTGCCCTGCATACTGCCTGAGGAGGCTCAGTGTCTCGGGGGTGCTGCCCAAGGGCTGATCTAAACAGTGCTGGTGACACAGGGTGAGTACCCCATCCTGGAGCCTGCACTTTCAGGCACCAGTCTCTCTGTAGGTGGGGAAGAGTCAAGAGCCACCTGTAAAGCCAAGCATTTAATGTCTCCATTTTACCATCTGCCCCAAGGGCGTGCTCGGCATCTGCACAAGACCAGAGTGAGGTGTGCAGACAGAACAGTCTCTAAAACCTTGGCTTGTGGGGCTGGAGCAGCACTGCGGGGTGTAGAGCACTGGGATCTCTGTTTTCCAACCCAAAAGATCCCCCTTCCCAGCATGGCCCTGCTCAGAGCTCATACAGTGGCTGCCAGATGTCCCTGTCACTTGTCTCCCCAGTGCTACCCGATCCCTGCTCCTGGACTGTGGAGAAGGAACCTTTGGGCAGCTGTGCCGTCACTATGGAGAGCAGGTTGACCAAGTGCTGTGTAACCTCGTGGCTGTGTTTGTGTCCCACATGCACACGGACCATCACTCGGTGGGTTCAGTGTGGGAGGGGGCTCTGTGCACGTGTGCTCTGCTCTTTGGGAGCAGCTGGAGCTCCAGCTGATGAGTGTGGGCTGCCCTGCTCTGCATTCCTCTCTGCATTCCTTCCCCAGGCACTGCTCCATCTGCCTGTGTTTCTAATTCCCTCTCCCTCCCCGTTTGGAGTCCCTGGAATCATCCAGAGTTGTAATTTTTTAGTAGTGTCCAACCCACCCCCCTCTACTGTTTGCAGTAAAGAGTCACAGATGGACCAGCTGATCTGTTCTAGACTGGGCCTGAGCAGGACATGGTGTGTGCTGCTCTGTTCTCTGGCCATCACACTGGCCACTGAGGAGCTGGATAGGGACTTACTGCTTACTGCTCTCCACCCTTCTGGGAAACGTTGAGGGCCTTGGGGGCTTCTGGCCACCAGCTTGGGGCATAAGCAGTGTCAGTGTCAGCAGCTCAGCAAGTTGCAGTTATTGAAAAGCAGTAAACAAGGATTTCTGACTGCAGGTTTGTTCTGACTCCAGGCTTGCTGAGCTGTGGTAGCACTGTTGCCATTCCCTCCCCAGGCATTTCTGACTGCAGCCTCTGTCCTGTTTGTTCCCTTTGCAGGGGCTGGTGCACATCCTGATGGAGCGAAGGAGAGCTTTTGTGAGTAGCCCTGGTGTTCCACTGCTCCTGAACTTGGCTTGGGGTGAGGGGAGAGGAACTTCTAGTAGTGGAGAAGCACCAGCACTTCCCTAGATATTTCTTCTCTCTGATTTGGTGTACACCTAGTACTGATATTTTCCCCCACCTTTACTTTTCCAGGCAGCCCTTGGTCAGGCTTTCAGCCCTCTGTTTCTGGTAGCACCTGAGCAGATCATGCCTTGGCTACACGAGTACCACAACCACTGTGAAGAGATTCTTGGAGACATCAGGTGAGTGTTCTGTGTGGTGTGTGGAGAAAAGTCCTTGCTGGGTCCTTATTTAAGGCAAAACCCATCATCCATTCCCCAGCCCCTTCACTGGAGGTGACTCTGAGTCCTTCCACTGCCTGTAGAATGAGGATGTGAAGTTTGCAGAGGGCAGGATATAGTTTGTTACTCAGCTGTGCTGCTTAATAGAGGCTTACAGGCAGGCTTCCCTTCTCTGTGGGAAAAGACAGCTGGGCAAGTGGGAGAGAGAGTATTTGACAGTGGGGAAGAGGTGGTTGGGATAGTTACTGGGGCACCAGTGAAAGCAGGGGGAATGACAGACAGGTGCACCAAAGCACACCTTACCCTTGTTTGTAAGGTGCTGAACGGAGGAGGAGAAACGGGAAAAATCAGCCACGTAAAAATTAGATCAGGTTTTACTTTGTGCCTCTCCATAGTTCTCTCTTCCCTCCCTCACAGAATGATTCCTTCTCAGTCTCTTGTGAAAGGCTGTGAGAACATCAGACCTAAAGCCAAGGAGTTTGTGAGCTCTCTGTTAGAGAGCTACGACCTGGCTGAGGTAAGTTCCTGAGCTGGGGGCTCCATGGCTGCAAGGGGCAGGAGAGGACCTGGGCTCTAACACTTGTATCTGTGCTCAGTTTCAGACCTGTGAAGTCCAGCACTGTAAAAATGCTTTTGCATGTTCATTGATCCACAAATCTGGCTGGAAAGTAGTCTACTCTGGGGACACAATGCCCTGCATGGCCTTAGTGCGAATGGGTAGGTGACAGAACCTTCTGCTTGAAGAATCTCTTGGAAAAGTATCTGACATGGGCAACCCCAAACCCTTGGTGCTGTGCCTGCCATGCAATGCAAGGAGAGCTCATGTAGGCAGTTGAACTAGTCAGTCTTCAACTGAAAATTGAATATATGATGGTTTACACAGGTAAAGATGCCACCCTGCTGATCCATGAAGCCACACTGGAAGATGGCCTGGAAAAAGAAGCTATAGAGAAGACCCACAGGTGGGGTGTGTTCTGCTGTCTGTCCCTGTTAAGAAGGGAAATGTGCTGAGCTGGGTGTTTTCTTGCAGCTGGGGTGAAGGGCCCAAGTCCTGTAGAAGATTCTGGTGTAGAGCTTTTCCACACTAAAAACAGTGTGTTGCTAATTGCAGCAGCTCTGTAACCGTTGCAGCTCCTCTCAACATCCCTCAAAATAGATGGGGAAAGCTGTCAAGTAGATAGTAGTAACTCTACAGATAGAGTACCCCCTGCTTGATTACATCTTGGACCTAAGCTTAGGGGATCGAAGGGTCATCCTGCTCTTGTAACTAAATGTGCAATTCCAGTGAGTTCTGCAGCCAGGAATTCCTCACCCTGCCCCCAGCAAACAGGGGGAAACCTGAGAGCACCTCCATGGAATTACCTGCAAGTCACAGTGCAAGAGAGCTGGGCGTGCTGGCACCTCTGGGACAAGTGTTTGAAAAAGTCCCTGTCCCTAGGGACTTGTGGAGCTCTTAAATACAGACCTCCTGTTTTCCTGCCCTTTGGAAGTCAGAAACTTGCCCCAGGGCAGGCTGCCCCAGGGAAAGGAGCAGGGTGTGCCTGTGGGGACCCTTGGGCCCAGCAGGGATGAGGTCACTTGGTGTGATGTGACCTGTGTGCAGAGCACCCTGCCCTGCCTGTGTGTGACCAGAGAGTGTTCCTGCTTCCCTTGCAGCACAACCTCCCAGGCAATCCAGACTGGGATGAAGATGAATGCAGAGTTCATCATGCTCAACCACTTCAGCCAGAGGTACGCCAAGATCCCACTCTTCAGCGAGGACTTCAGCGACAAGGTTGGAATTGCCTTCGACCACATGAGGGTGAGTTGGGAGCTTGGGGCCAGGCCATGGGAGAGGTTGCAGTGTTACTTTAGGATGGCTGTTCGTGATTTAAATTCTCCAGTTGTATCGATATTCCATCTCCTGAAGAGCAGTCTCCTGTGAAACAGCTCCTTTAACTGCTGACAGCAGACATCACCAGTATGGGGAAAGGGTGGCACAGGGTGAGGCAGGTGCTGATGGCTCTTGAATCCAACTCTTAACACACTGACTGGGTAATTCCCTCACGCACCTTAAGTCTGTGCTTGCTACTCCCAGCCGAAAACCTAATTTTGCTTCCATCCCGATTCCCTTCTCAATTTGTGTGCTGCTTCAATGGCTTTCTGCAGCAGACATCTGGGAGGCAAAAGTTGCTACTGTTGAGCTGCAGGCAGTTGTGACATTGAGGGCAGCTCCCTGTCAATCAGAACTTGTACTGATTCACGATATTTCTGTGAAGAAAATATGAATAACTTGTCGAGCCAGGGCTGCTGGGTGCGGTTGTGCACACAGGGAGGGGCAGTGCCCTGCCGTCTGCACAGGCCACGGGCAAGGGGCAGGAAGGGAAACAAAAAGCAGTTCTCATGCAGGTGCTCTTGTGCTTGTGTGTTAGGTACGTTTTGGTGACTTTCCAACCATCCCGAAGCTGATCCCGCCGCTGAAAGCTCTGTTTGCAGATGACATCGTGGAAATGGAGGAACGCAAGGAGAAGCGGGAGATGCGGCTCCTGAAGGAGACGGCCCTGGTCCTGGACAGACTGACTGGGGGGGAGAACACGGGGGCAGCGTGCCAGAAACGGAAACAGGCCAAGAACCACCAGGAAGTACCAGACAAGAAGCTTAAAACAGTAAACTGAGAGAGACACGGCTGGGAATGCTCTCTCTGAGAGAGATTCCTTGCTCTCCGCAGGCCTCGGGAGCACACGGTGCCGCCGGCACAGCAGGAAAGGGGCTGGCCTTGGTTCTGGGCTTGCTTGGTCATCATGGACCTCCCTGGACTGCAGCTCCAGCGTCTGCCAGCAGTGCCAGTCCTTGTGGAGACAGGATCTGCCACACAGCTCCTGTTCCTGGGGCTCACCCGGCCATGTGGCATTCTTCTTTTAGCCTGAAGTTCTTCTCTCTGAGCTGTTTTGATTTTGAGGTTTATGCTAAAAGCTATTGATAATGTAACAGCAGCTGGTGTGACCTTTGCAAGAGATCAGGTGTGAGAGGCCCTGATGGGCCACGGATTTGCCAGAAGACAATGGGCAGGTCTCAGTGATAGGGGATGTAACCAGGTATCAGAACCCAGGTGACAGGAGGAAAATTAACAGTAAAATGGAATCCAGTTACTTTTTAGGTTAAATTAGGAGTGACGATACATCTGTGTTCCCATTTTATTTTGGCTTTCTCCACTGATTTTTTTTTCAAAAGATCAGTTTTCCAAACCCTTTATTTAGAATCTGAATAAAGCCCTCACTGTCCTCCAGGAAGCTGTGTTGTATCTGGATCACTAACGAGGAAACAAACACCTGGGTTGCTCCAGAGAGTGACCTTGTCTGTCTGATTTTGCATTACAGCATTGGGATAAAGACCAAGATCTTGCCTGTCAGGTCTGGATCATGCTGGAGCGTCATGCCTGTGTTTTGTGCCAGAACAATCCTCTCTGCCTCTTTTACCCTGTAGACAGGAGCTTTGCTTGTCAGCCCAAGCTGGTCCCAATGAGTGGTGGCTTTTGAATGACTGGATCAGACTGGGAGTTTCCTCGAGCAGATTCCAGTTTTGGGTGCAGGGAACAGGAAAGCTGGCAAAGCAGGCAGAGAGGGGGGAGGACTGTGGTTAAGAGGAGTTTTCTGAGGTTTTCTGTGGATCACCTCTCCTTCTTCCCTTCCCACTGCTGCAACTGCCTGTGTTTGGAAGCAGGAGGGGACCTCTGTGCTGCTTGAATTAAGGAGTTCATTTTTGGAGGCAACTTGAAGTCACACAGCCCCCAGGCCCTGCTCAGCAAGTGATGCCAGCACATAGTAAAGACTTAAGACTTCATTTTAAGGTGATGTGAAATTAAGAAACAAACTGGAAGCAACCCCTTTTTCTTTGATGAGCTGAGCTTTAATATTCTGCTTGTCTGAAGCAGAGATGGTAACTGACAGCTGGGTCCTGCAGAAAATCTGTGCTGGGCTTTTAGGAATAGCCCTCAGGGGTTGGGGAAAGACTGAGCAAGGACCTGTTACTGGGCAGGTTTTTGTAGGAGTGGATTGGGGTGCCCAGGAAAGGGTCTGGTTATTGCTGGGCTGAGACAAGCAGCCCTGGGCCTGCACAGGATCCCTGTGCTGCTTTTCATGGAAAGAAAGGTCTTTTATTTGGAAAATAATGAAATACTTGTCACATTGGGTATTAATAAAATGCAAATCCAACAGTGGCAAGAGCCCACAGCACGCGGGATCCAGCTCCAGGTGGTCGATGTTTGTCCAGTGGGGTCGGGGAGCAGCACGGGGGGTGATGGACGGGACCTGTCTGTGCCCGGCGTGGAGAAACTCCCCGGGCTGTGCTCTGAGCTGCCCGGCTGGGGAACTGCTGGAGCTGCCGGGGATACGGGGAGGGAAACGGGCCGGAGGAGGAGGAGGAGGGAGGAGAAGTCCGCTCCGGGCGGCGGGGCTGGGGCCGAGGGGAGGGGGAGGGCAGTTTCTTTTTGTGGTCCTTGCTCTAGCACCACGTTAAAGACGAAGGTGAAAAGGAGGAGGTTTGAAGGACTTCGGTTCTCTCTGGCAAGTACATTGATCAAAGATTGAGAGGGGAATGACAGAGAGAAAATGAGCTGGGAAGTGCTGGCTGCWGCCGCCGCCGCCGCTCGCTCGCTGGACGAGTTGTTGTTGTCACACGGTGCGGAGGGGAGGAGCTCCGGCAACTTGAAATACCCTTTGAAGCAGCAAAAGGCTCACTCAGTAGTATTAACCCAAATTATCCAACCAGGAACC